ATATTAGTAAATCTTTCAGGAACAGAACACGCCAAACATTTGAAGAAAAATTCCTCAATAATTTTTAATTTCTATTATCAACAAACTTGCAACTGATGGCTTCCGATTTCGGATACTGTTACATACGTGTGTATTACGGTAAAAGACATTTTTTCTGTTTACAAATCAAAGTGAAGTCAACATTGCTTTCTTCATTCCAATGAATAAATGTGTCTGTAATAGTTATAGAATATTCTTCTTCGTTATAGAATAGTATATATTTCTGTATCTATATAATTCGGAAAACAACAATAAAAAATCATCCAAATTACTTGAAATAGTGCCATTTGTGCTGATTATTAATACATTTTTATCGTTTTCTTGGCAACTATTTTTTAGTTTTGAAAGAATAATTTCAAATAGAATTCAGCTATTCTGTTTTTAAGCTACATATTAAAATTCATATCGAGATCTTACAATTATAAAATTTTGCTGTGTGGTATGTTATCTGAAAGTAATGAAGTGATAATCATTGTACATAATATTTAAAAATAAAATTTCTAACGAAGAACATTTCAGTTGGAATTCTCCGGATTTATAAAAAAAGGTGAGTGTTATGATTTTTATAATAAAAAATTTGCTTGTAAATAATTTTTTTACTTATTTGATGATAGTTCTCTGCAGAATAGTTTTTTACGTCTGATTAATAACTATAAGAATAAAAAAAAGAAACAATATGACAGTTTCTTTATTTCACTATGAGGAATTTTTAAAATCGTTTTTTTATCCTATGAATTCTTTTTTTTAGTTTATGATTTTTAGATTAAAAATTTTTGTCAAAATACTTTTTCTGAAAAATTAAATGATATAACATTATGTGTTTATGCATACTTCTTGCATTTTTGAATGTTTGAAGCAATATGATTCAGAAAAGTATGGAATAAAAATTCGGTACTTATGTATAAACGCCACCGCAGCTACAGACTTGGCGGTTTTTAAGTGCCGCCAATAGACACGTAAAATTTTTGCAACAAATCATAAAATGAAGCACTTTATTTAAAATCAAAGTAGTCAATCGGATTACGGTGGGAAAGGTTATAGAGTTTAGCATGGATTATAGAGTTTAGATGTTATATAGAGTTATAGAGTTTATAGAGTTTAACATGGATTCAAAACAATCTCTATTTTATTTTCTATCTTAACAATCTGTCGCCATATTAACTCTAATAATTAAGATTCCAAATGAAATAACATTTCCAAAACGTACGTTTGCCAAGATAAAGTTTCATATCATGGGAATTGGTACATTTTCGTTTCCTTTGGTAAAATATTTCGCTCCTGAAAAAATAAAATTGCATTTTGTTTTGTTTTTGGAAAATTCCAAAGACGAATTTTCGTAGCACTAAAAATTGGCGACAAAAAAGAATTGTTTGTTTTTTTCGTTTCGTAAGCATTCTTTATTTTACGTTTTTTAGTTTCTAAATAATAATTTTTATTGAAACTCAAAATTTTTTGATAAAAATTGTTGTCAAAAAACTTTTTTTACAAAATTGAATTTTATAAAATTATAAGGCTTATGCATACTTTTTGTTCATTTTAATTAAGGTAGTATGATTCTTAAAACTATGGAATATGAAGTTTAATTGGACTTTCATGTTATATCATTAAATTTAGTAAAACTATTTCTTAGGCATTAGGTTTTAACTTTTATAAGAATATACATATTTTTTCCTGTATATTTACAAACATTTTTCCAATGTGTTTTGGATGTTGCTTCTCTAAAGAAAAAGAGATACCATTTTGTTTTTCGTTTGCATAAGAAAGAATATCAAACATTTTTCTTTTTTAAATTTAATAAGCTACAATGAAGAAGGAACGTTGCAATGCTACATGCTACATTGAAGACGTCTCTAGAGTAACTGAATGATTGTTCATACAGAAATCGCAGGTATTGGTCTCATACAACAACGCCCCCTATAGTTCGTTGCGATCGCGAATTGTATAAACATTTGAATTAGTTGTTTGATGTACAAAAATACTTGGCCTAGTTTCGTTACAGAGAAACTCTTTTTTCTTCACTTTAGGTAGAGTCTTCAATCTGTGGAACAGATGGAGTTACATATTTGAATGAATGTGAAATGAGAGTGGCAGCTTGCAATAAAGGGCAATATGTTGTGGTCGGGTCCAGAGGTCCATGTGGTATGTTTATATTCTAAAGGTGCTTAACTTTTGTTAAGCACCAACATTTTGTCGCAATTTATATTACACTAAATGTTTATACTTTATTAAAATACCGAAGAAATTTCTTTTCTCGTGCTGGCAACAAAATTCTGAAGTAAACTAACCCTTTCCAAATTATTAGACGCGCTATAAAATTCTATGCAAAACCTTAATTGCCAAGTCATACTATACATCTTTATTGTTTTTACGCGGTTTGCACTTGTTTACGTTAGTGTATCAATTGTTTAAATTGGACGATATATAATATAAATGCGACGATTGGATAAATTAGGCGATATATTATATAAATATTAAATATTTATTATATCAAGCATTATATTAGTATATTATAATAATTAGACCAAATGATTAGATGCACTGTAGTGGTTTAGTAATTGCATGTTTTGCACGAGTTTGTATGCAGTACTTTTATATTGAAACATACATGTGATGGGTTTTTTTTCATGAGATATTTTATATACTTTCCATTTGTGTTTATTTTTAACGTATTACATTACAATGTTAACCAACTGATACACGAGCAAAAACAAGTGTAAACCGGTTTCAGCAGCGTAAAAACAATAATTTTGTGTAGCATCAGCCGATAATTAAGATTTTGCATAGAATCTTAGCGGGTCTAATAATTTGGCCAGAAACTGTATAAGTAAACTAAAGTAGAACAGAAATAAGAAATTATAAGCGAACTCTCTAAATAGAGAATCACGTTCTTCACGTTCTAGGACTCAGATATTTAAACTCGATTTCTCAAAAACTATTCGTTCGATATTGCTCAAATTTTGTATTTTACCATGTAAAATTATATTCTTTAAATTGATGCAAAAAATTCTATACGAACGTTAATTCTATTCGAAAAATTCTATTCGAACGTTATTAAATAAAATTATAAAAATAATAAATAGTCAGTAAAAAAATAGTTCTTGCATGGTCTTTAGATAAACGAATTTTATAACTGGTTTCAAAAATGTTTCAATTCGCTTAAAAAGTTCTCGAACTATAATGAAATACGCAAAAAGTAAAATTAACATAAAGGTGTCCAACCATTACAATGTTCTCCTGACCAAACTATTGGAACCATATTTTCCAGATCGCGGCTATTCCCTATATTTTGATGGTCTGAAGTCCAAATCGGTCGGAAAAAAAGCATTTTTATGTAGAGAAAGTACGTTTTCGTGCCTGATTCAATGAATTATCGTCGGCATTAATTAATTAGCATATGTGAGGTCACTTCCTCGAGACATTAAAATTGTGTCCTAGAACGTGAAGAACCGATCATAAGATCAAAAGCTATTCAGGGTGGTCTTTTTTGCGCACTGTACATTGGTGTATCGGGGATTGCAAAATGCACTGATAACTGCACAGGAAGTTTGTAAAAATAATATTTTTTTCTTTTATTCATCACTCACTATCGATACACATTGTCGACCTATGCAATGTCAGTCAGGTGATGTATGGAGTGCACTGATAACTGGGAAACTGCACTGATTATTGATCAGAAGTGCACTGATAACTGGGTTGTAAATTAAAAATAATAACAATTTTTATTTTTTTCATCACTCATCATCGATGCACCGTGATTGTCGATGCATGCAATATCAGTCACCTGGTGGTGTACGGAAGCAATATAATAATAAGTGAACAGCAATTTTGAAAACATGCCAAAGTAACTGCATACCGTGAACATTTCGACATTAATCGGCGAGATTTGATATTTTTCGACGAGTTTTTATAATCATCGGAGAGTTTTTACACTCATTGGTAAGATCTGAGGAGGGTAGGTACGTATTTTATTTACGTCGCACTAGAACTGCACAATGGGCTATTGACGACAGTTTGGGAAACATCCCTGAGAATGACCCGAAGACATGCCATAGCAAATTTGATCCTCTACAGAGGGGATGGCTCCTCTACTTTGGTAGCCCGATGATCTGCGAGTGTCACCCACCTGTTTACTGACCGCAGTCAGTGATGCTTGACTTCGGTGTTCTACTTGGAACCGAGTCTTTACGATTAGTCCAATGCGGGACCACAGGGCCGGGATAGCCTGGTTGGTAGGGCGCTGGGCCCATATCCAAGAGGTCGTGGGTTCTATCCTCGCCGGCCGAAGATTCCCCGTGTAGTAAATGGTGACTGATGCACGTTAAATCTGTCGAGTTTCAAAGTCCTCCATGTTCCCACAACAAATCAATACCTCTGGGGGTACTGATCCAGGAGTTTCCTTGTCTTCTGGATTGGTTCAAAATTACAAGGCTACGGAGTTGAACTTAAGTAGTCGTAAACCCATGAAATTGGGTCGGCTGTTCAACGACGGTTATAAAATAAAATAAAATGCGGGACCACAATTCACATTTTTCGGAGAGATTTGATACTCATTAGCGAGGTTTGACATTCATCCGAAAGTTTTGACATTCATCAGAAAGTTTTGACATTCATAGGAAAAAATTTGAAATAAATTTTAAATATTTCATATTTATCGGAGAACTTTGATATTTATAAAAGAGCTTCGCACTTTACTTATCTTACAGAGAAAGATATTTGCTGCATCACAACTGAAACATTTATTTTTTCAAAATGTATAGCTTGCTTTATGGTGTAGTTTAGTATTATGTTTACAAAAGCGATCTTAAATATTTTTATAATTACTTAAATCCTATGTCCTTACTGTTTTATTGATAATATTTGACTTATATCATGAATTCCAGACTTGTGTCAAAATGTACACTGTAAGTATGGTGCCAGGTGCGAGAACGGCCAGTGTGTTTGTCCAATTAATTGTCCTGACACGTATGAACCAGTATGTGCCAGTGACGGCATGTCATATCCTAATGAGTGTGAAATGAGGAGAGAAGCCTGTATTCGAAGTCAAGAACTGAATGTAATGTTCTACGGTGAATGTGAAGATGTTGGTAATGCTGGTCAAGGTAAATACTTTTATAAAATTTAAAAAAAAAAAAAAACAATTTTTTCTGTTAAATTTGTTTTTAATATAGCTTATTTTTACGATGCAAAAGTAACGTACACATACAAGTAAAGGATCATTTGTTGTTCAATTTATTTATATATTTTCTTTTTTTATAATTTCTCCCTCTTTGATTTTTCTATATTGCTTTGCTTCATGCACTCTCAGAAAAATCTTCTCAATATAGAACTGTAAAATACGTATCATGTTCCATAATATCAATTCCTTGAGCTGTATTATCGATATCTTGAACAAGAGTATCGTGCAAATTCGCTATATGTTAATTATGACTTAACAATGAACTACATTTTTATTCAAGTTTAATCATAGTATCATGCTTCAAGTTTAAGAAGCATGATAATATGGTTTCATCTAGTACCATATTAAGATTATTGCAAATCTAAAGGACATCGGTTCAATTCGCTCAAAAGTAAATATCAGTGTACATTTTTGTCAACAGCAAAATCCTGTTTTGTAGCTTGATTTAAACATTAATTATGTATTAAATTATTTTCTATAAAATTTAATTATAATTAGGATTAAATCACGAATAATAAGGATTGGAAATTTGACTGAACTATGTATGTAATATATCTTTTAGTTTTGAGCATGATCTTGCAGTGTTGGTAAATTCAAATAATAAAGTAAATACCAGTCTACATTTTTATCACCAGCAAAATCTTGTTTAGTAGCTTAATTGAAACATTGATTATGCATTAAATTATCTTCTACAATAATTAATTATAATTGGAATCAATTGAGAATAAGCATTGACAATTTGACTGGACTATGTGGGAAATATATCTTTTATCTTTCAGTTTGATTTCACAGTGTGGATTAATTCCGATTCATTGACTAATAACTTTCGTTTTAAGACCGTGCGAAGAAAAGATGTTCAATTAGTTTATATTATTATTAAGAGTTAGATATAAAAAGTTTCCGCGTGGACGTTTCGTTTTTTTTTTCACCAAGAATAACTGTACAGGCTTGAGAATTTTCACGTTTTAGCACACCAATTAAAATTCAACCATTCAAAAATCACTTAAACCGCGCAAACCAATAGTTTTTTCTGTGACCTAAAAGCCACTTTTTAATAGATGACTTTTTCAACATCAGCAAATGTAAATATATATTAAGAAATCCTTATAAAAAAGAAGAGCGTTACTTTAAAAATGAATGTATTTTTACCTATACATATTTCAGAACTACTGAGATATTTTTTTAGAGCATTTCTTTGAGAACAAGTACTGTCAAATTTAAGCAATATTTTTCCAAACTTATTTTCTCTCTGAAATAGAAGAAAACGACTTTTCAAAAGTGAGAAGTTGTCGAAATTTTTAACCGAAAAATCTCGCACCCAGACGTGAATTGTAATTTCTCTGACACTGCATCGACGAACTATTCTCATTCTTATTGTTAAAAAGAGAAGATTTTTTTTTCCTCCAACCACATAAATGTTTCATGAATAAAAGTGGAGAAGCACACAATTTTTCACCATTTATTTCTTCCTTTTTTTATAATACTTCGAGCAAAATATTATTTTTTGCTTTATTCCACTATTTTTTTCGCGATATAGCAACCGAGTGGATAATGGCGCATAAAATGTAAAAAAGCTTTAGGGAATTGAAAGTATTGGAAATGTGATCCAAAAAATAAAAAGTTTTTTTTTTTTCTTCTTTTTGCGTCTGTATATGTATGTTTGATTGTTCTTCGATAAATCGGCGAAAAATATATATTTCAAAGATCAAAACATCAGAGATACTAAAGTTCTTTAAAAATATATATACCTTGTGTTAACAGACAAAATAAAATTCGACTTTAAAGTGCAACACTTTAACGAAGTATCCGTATCTCAAATAATCCCCCGGCATATTTGTATGGAATTGCGACAGTTGATTTAGCATAAAAGCTGAATTATTTATGTTTATAATTGTTAACATTTTACAAAAATATCTAAAACAAATGCTTTCTAATATATTTTGTCGTTTACAGCGTTTCATTTATATTGGTGCTGAGGTAATTACTTATAAATGACAGCTGACTAACATAACAAGCAAATGAACTAACAGGATTAAAAAATAAGCATTCAGAAATTATATATTTACTATAATTATCTTCGAAAAATATGAGTTTTTAATTAGGAGATTCTTTATATAAATATAAATTGGCGAAAAATATATATTTCAAAGATCAAAGCATCAGAGATACTAAACTTCTTTATAAAATATATATACCTTGTGTTTGCTGACAAAATAAAATTCGACTTTAAAGTGCAACACTTTAGCGAAGTATCTGCATCTTAAATAATCCTTCGGCATAGTTGCATGGAATTGCGCACGGTTAGTTTAGCATAAAAGTTGAATTATTTATGTTTATAATGGTAAACATTTTACAAAAATATCTAAAAAAATGTTTTCTATATTTTTTGTCCACAGCACTAAATTTATATTGATGCTGAGGTTATTACTTATAAATGACAACGGACTAACATAACAAACAAATGGACTAACAGGACTAAAAACGATTGTTCAGTAATTATATATTTACTATAATTATCTTCTAAAAAATATGAATTTTTACTTAAGAGATATCTTTGTTTTTGGAATTGAAATTACACATTTTACTAAAAACCAATCAAATTTCCAATTTTCAGCAGTTGTAAATAATTTGAAATTTGCAGAAAAATAATTTAATCCATGGTAAGTCAAGTTTAAGGTTAAGATTAACGTTTAAGGATAAATATTCATACTTTGGTCCAGATAATATTGATTTCGAAAATATTTTGAACTAGATTATTTGATGTAAGAATAAAGTCCATCATTATTTCATGAGTAAATAAATCGGAATGATTTATACTCACGATGGTTAAAATCCTGCGAAACTACTTTTGTGAATACATACACTTTTAATCGCGTATATTTCGTTAATTTTATTGAAAATATAAATTACACTAGAATGCAAATCAGGCGCATTTTTTAGCATTATAAGTAGCTTAAAACGTAGTAAAAAGTACTATTCAGGAAATTTAATAAGTAATCCTACATTGGTTTGGATAACATAGAGTTTGATTTCGCTTTTTATTTTATTTATTTTTGTATTTGTGGCGAATAAATTGATAAAAATAAGAAATTATACCACTATTATTCAAAAGTATCATAATAATTTGTGTTTAAAATGGTCAAAATACCTTCAAAGTTGACGGTTAAATGGTTAAAGTACCTTCATGAGCCGTGATGGCTCAGGGGATCGAGCATCCGCCTTCTAATGAGGTGAACCGGGTTCGTATCCCAGCGATGTCTGATGGATATGAATTCCACGTCCGGCTTCCACCGACCACAGTGCTGACGTAAAATATTCTTAGTGGTAGATGGATCATGGGTTAGAGTCCCTTTGCCGTCAGGCTAACCGTGGAAGGTTTTCATGGTTTTCCTTTCTATTTAGCGTAAATGCGGGTTAGTTCCATCAAAAAGTCCTCCACGAAGGCAAATTTCCCCCAATACTTGATCCAGGAGTTTGCTTGTCTTCTGGATTAGGTTCAAAACTACAAGGTTATGGAGTTGAACATTAGTAGTCGTAAGCCCAAGAAATTGGGTTGGCTGTTCAACGACGGTTTTAAAATAAAATAAAATAAAATTAAATAAAATAAAATATTTCACTCTTCCTTCTTTTCTCTCTAATACGAGTATGCAGGTTACATTTAAAGTGCACAGATATATTACCCATTTGGAGAATGGGTGTTGTTTAGTGTTTGATGGCATGCGCACCTTATTTGGACGTCATCACTCTTTTCAACTGTGTTCAAGAGCAATAGTAAACAGAATACAATTTATGGTTAACTTATGAATAATTACTGTCTTGTCGTACTCTGTGACGCCTTAAAAAATGTTTATTTGGTTGAAATTGGAAACCAATCCAGTCTTTCGGACGGCAAGAGGACAGAAATCAATTGAAGCAGTTTTTCGTGGCGTTTATGACAATCAGTCCAGGGAAAAAAATTTGACCTATGAGTAACCAGTGATTGAAATAATGCTTTTGACTATTTGTTTATTTTTTTCCTTCTTGCTTTCGTTATATACTAGTTTTAGTTATATTCTATTTTTAGTTAGACTCCTATTTTAGTTATTCTATTATTTTGCTTTTAATGCATTAGAGAAACGGGATAAGGAATCAATATTTTTCTTCATATTATTGCATAATACAGAAAATATAATGCTTGAAATTATTTTGCTTTTTCTTTCAGTTATGGGTTCCAGTAGCAAAGGTTGCATCGAAAAAAACTGCAAATTTGGTGCAACATGCCAACTCGATGTCGAAGGTTTACCGCAGTGTGACTGTAACTTTAACTGCCCTCCCAACCGTAAGCCCGTCTGTGGATCTGATAATGCAATCCATAACAACGACTGCGCTTTAAAAGAGGAATCATGCCGGCAGCAAACACAGATTTACATCTTGCCTATCTCGCTATGCGAAGGTAACACTTTTCCCTTTAATTTAGTCTTTAATTGCTGCAGACGTCTGTTTTCACATAAATGCTGCGGTGTTGTAGCAGAGACCGGTCGTTTATAAAAGACATAAACTAAATTCTGTTTCATTTTAACATCTCTTTTCCGGTATATATTCTTCTTCGCTCTTACTAATACAAGTCACTTAACTTTAAGATTATATTTTGATTATAATTCATAAAAAGAAAAATTCAGATGTTCCCCAATTGAGACTCTTATTTATATATCATTTTATGATGAAAAAACCTTGCTCTTAATCTTGTTAATTTTAAAGACTTTAGTATTTTATCAAAATCACATCAAACTAATCAAACTACTTTAAAATTCTAATCAAAATCACATAAGCTTGTCAAAATATTTTAAAATTCTAATGAAACTAATAAACAACTAAATTCTCATTAGAACAATCAAAAATCGATCAAACTACCAACAAGTAGTTAGTGGTAATAAAAATTAATGATTTATTGAGTTCTAATTAAAGTCATCAATAAAACTTTCATTCAAACTAATAAATTAAGTTTAAATCAAGAGAAGTTCTTATCAAACCATTAAAAAGATAGAACTTCTAACCAAACTAACCAACACAAATTCTAACCAAAGTAATAAATAACAAATCAAGCTCTAACCAAACTAGTCAAAACTGCAATTTATTTATTTATTTTTGCATATTGAACTTTTCTATTTTTTTTTTTCACTTTTAGCAGTGTGATTCAAATGATGTATTACTTCTGCGGAACATAAATTGAAATAAGTAAACAATACCTTAAAAATAGGTTGACTAATCTAACAGTTAAGAAAAATTGCTAAGAAGTATAAATAGAAAAGATTGAGCTTTTTGCTGTCATTGTATGATATAATTGTTAAAAATATAGTTATTTGAAATTTGAAGGAAGACCCAAAATAAGATAAAAAGTTTAAAAAATTCAAAAATAAATAAATGAATGAATAAGGAAAGTATATATATATATATATATATAAATATTANTGGTCAAGGAAGAAGTAAACCCTATATTTTTGAGAGATCCGAATTACGTGTGGAGATGTTTACCTCTACATCATTTTGATATGAGGGCGATGTAAGTTGAATCAGTAAGGTGAGAAAAATTTTTATAAACTATTTTTATATTGTCCAATCTGGATCTATCATTTTCCCTCTGCTTCATGAAATTCTGTTTTCCTCCATTTTAACGGGGAATACAGATTTTCATAAAATAAATAACCCCTATTAACCACACAGAATCTTAAATTCTGAATAAATGACACTTGTTGTCCAGTTCGTTTTGCATAAAAATTTTGTATATTTTTGTGTGAAAAATTTTTTTTGAAAATTTTAGTAGATTAGTTATGTAAATATTTCATTTTTCTTTCTGTTTAGTTACTAAATAGATAAATTGCATAATCATGTTTTTCATATTTTTGTCATTGTAAATAATATTTTTTCTTTACTTATTATCCCCCCCCCCTTTTTTTTTCATCTGTCTATAATTTTTCTTTGTTTTATTCTTCATTTTGTTTTATTCTTCACCGGTGTGGTTGTTTCATATCTATTGTTATTTTTTTCATTAAATTTAATTATTACAAATGCGTAGTTATTTCAGCTATATCTGACGGCAACCTCCACATGGGGGCTCTGGCCGTTTGATAAAATATAATTAACACAGACGGTGTTGATTAACCAAAAGAAAATTGATAATTAAGCACAGATGGTGTTTGCTAGTTTACTTGGCTTACCAGACGGGTGAGTTTGAATTTGAACTGTATCTTTTAAACTGTATCAATGACATCTCTAAGTAATATCAAACCAATTGCAAATTTCCTAAAATCGGGAAATGTAAAAACTGTGAAATTGCTCAATCGCATTATATTTAACGATGTGTTTGATCGCACGTCACGAAAAAATTGCGATCCTTTTCTTCTTTTCCCCCGGACATAAATATTGAGGAAAGGAAAATGTTTATATCTGATACTTGTTCCGAACACGAATTAATATGTGTGTTAAGTGTGCTAAATTTGGATGTTGAAGGAAAAAAGCCAGAATTAATCGATAGAATTTATCAATCGTTTATGAACTTAAAAGAATAACAAGCTTTTAATACACAATTGAGCGAAGAAGATGATCAATATGAAAGTGAAACTGAAGTACACGTGCATGACATTGAAACCCCACCCAAGTGCTTATCGAGTAGTAACAAAACAAAGAATGCAGAATTTCACTCTTCGAATTACTTTCTTTTAAAAGAAATATCATCTTCAATGAGGCATTTCAATTCATATGGGATACATTTGTTTTTTAACGATGTTGAGGACGCGTTTAATTTTATTCCCGATTTAAGTGATACGCAGAAAATAATATTTTGTAAAACTTTACTTGACGGTCAAGCAAGAACTTTTATTTTCACATAACGTAATTTAACATCGTGGTTATTGTTTAAAAATGCTTTATTAAATGAGTTTAGTCACCAATTAAATGCCGCCGAAATTCATCGTCAATTAAGTAATCGTAAAAAAAAATTCACACGAATCTTTTATGGAATATTTTTTTGCCGTACGGGAACTCGCGTGTAATTGTAAAAACCCAATAGACGATTTTTCTTTATTTGATTATACTATTGACGGTATTGGGAATACCGTCAATAGTATAATCAAATGCTTAGCACCGGGCCGGTGCTAAGGGAATCGGAATACCGTATTCCCGATCCCCCCGCTGATAAATCCATTTTGTATGGCGCGAAATCTATTCCTGAATTTAAGGATAAATTGCGTGTTTATGAAAAAATAGTTAATGATAGAAACAAAAAATCTTTTTTCCGTACAAATCCTCGCTTTTCCTCTGAATTTCCCAAACGTAATAATTTAGTACGTGATAATGTACGAGGATATGATTTTCAAAATGATTTTAAGTTTGATAAACAGAAAACTTGTTATAATTGTGGTGTGACGGGACATATTTCACGTTTGTGTCCTGATGAACAACGAGGTTTGAAATGCAATTTATGTAAGAAATTTGGACATATTGCTTCTAAATGTAATAATAAACCTATTAACCAAACTGATAACACTGTAAGCGCAATTACACATTCACCTTCCTTGATGTATAAAACCGTTAATGTCAATAATACTTCATTTAATGCTCTTATTGATACTGGACCTATGAAAACAATTTTGCGGGAACAAACTTATCATAAAATAGGCTCACCTCCTTTAACTTCTTTTTATGGTACTAGCAGCGTTTGGTAACGGACATTTTAAACCAATAGGTAGTTGTACTCATGAATTTGTAATAGATGATCAAGAATTTAAAATTTTTTTTTGTATAGTTAGAGATAATATTATGTCATACGATGCTATAATTGGCATGGATATTTTAACACAGGCAGAAATAAAAAATAATACCGCTGGTATCACTTTAACAAAGATAGAAAATAGTGGAACAAAACCAGTAGAGCAATTTTCTATTTCAAATATTTCGATTAAAAATGATTTCGAATTAGAAATCGAATCTCGCGTTAGTCAAACACAAAAAGAAACTCTTCAAAATATGGTTTCAAATTATAAACCTACCAAAACTAAAACTAGCGAAATTCAAATGTCTATAAATTTAAAAAATGAAACACCAATAACTCATAGAGCACGTCGATTACCTTTTACAAAACGTAAAATTGTTGATGACCAAGTGACAAAATGGTTGGCTGACGGTGTAGTTGAACCATGTTCTTCCGTATATTCCAGTCAGACTGTAGTGGTAAAAAAGAAAGACGGAGCCCCAAGAGTTTGTATTGATTATAGAGCGTTAAATAAAAATGTAGTTAAAGATAATTACCCTTTACCACTTATTAACGATATATTTGAAAATCTTCAAGGAGCAACTACGTTTATCAAAATTGATTTGCGTAATGCATTTTTTTATTTGGAAATAGAACCGAACAGTCGTAAATATACGTCTTTCGTCACTTATAATGGTCAATTTCAATTTTTGTGCGTACCATTTGGCCTTTGCAAATCACCTGCAGCTTTTCAGCGTTATATTAACACTATTTTTAAGGATTTGATAATTAAAGGTCATTTAATTATTTTTATGGATGATATGACTATACCATCGAAAAATGAAGAGGAAGGTTTCGAGAGGCTTGAATCGGTATTTTCACTCGCTTCTGCTTATGGGTTAGAGATAAATTTTTCAAAATGTACCTTTTTAACTAGAAAAACAAAATTTCTCGGACATGTAATGGTAAAATGTACCCGTCACCTCAAAATACTGAATTTTCCCGAACCCAAAAATAGGAAGGATTAACAATCATTTCTGGGTCTAGCTAGCTATTTTCTAAAATTCATATTAAATTTCTCCATTATTGCTCACCCTTTAACTGAACTTTTGAAAAAAATCGCGAATTTAAATTTACCGAGAATGAAATACAAGCATTTAGTAGTTTAAAGCATAATTTGTCTTCTCCACCCGTTCTTAGCACTTACAATCAAAACGCGGATACTGAAATACGTTGCGACGCAAGTATTCATGGTTATGGATGTATTTTAATGCAAAAATCGTTAGAAGATATGCGTTTCACCCAGTTTATTTTATGAGTAAGAAAACGTCTGATGCCGAAGCGAAATACAGCAGTTTTGAGCTTGAAGTCTTAGCCATTGTACAGGCTTTAAAAAAATTTAGAGTTTACTTGCTAGGGAAACATTTTAAAATTGTGACCGATTGTAATGCATTTGCGATGACATTAAATAAAAAGGATTTGTGTACTCGCATAGCGCGCTGGGCATTATTGCTACAGGATTTCGATTATATCATTGAACACCGCTCCGGTTCCAAAATGTATAATGTTGACGCGCTAAGTAGATATCCGATTATGATAGTTCAGGATAGTCTCATTACAAAAATTAGAAAAGCTTAGGAAGAAGATAGCGAAATCCAAACGGTTAAAAAACTTTTGAAAACTAAACCCTATGATGACTTTTTTCTTAAATCTGGCATACTATATATATTTGTTGACGGTGAAGAACTTCTTGTCGCTCCTGAAAGTATGCAAAATGATATTATACGAAATGCTCATGATCGCGGACATTATGCCTCTAAGCGTACTGAAGAATCATTGAAACATCAATTTTATATCCCTAAAGTGAAAGAAAAAATAGACCGTTTCATTAAAAACTGTGTTCCTTGCATTTTAATAAAGCGAAAGTGTGGAAAACAAGAAGGATTATTACATCCGATCGAAAAAGAATCCATTCCTCTGCACNAAAAAAAAAAAAAAAAAAAAAAAAAAAAAAAAAAAAAAAAAAAAAAAAAAACGAATCACCCTGAATAACTTTCGTTCTAATAATCGGATTCTCACGAACTAAGTGTCAATCTTAATGGTTCCCGGGGGTGACCTCAAATATGCTAATTAATTAGTGCTAACTATTAATTACTATACAAAATCAGACACAAAAACGTACTTTCTCTGAATAAACATATAGTTTTTTTTACATATTTGGATTTTTAACCTTCAAAATATAGTGGGGTAGCCGCAATCTGGGAAATATGGTCCCCATAGTTTGGTCAGGAGAGCGATTCAAAGTTCGTACCCCTTAATGTTAATTTCGCTTTTTGCGTTTTCAGTCATATTTTCAAAACTAATGAAGCAATTCAAAAAAAATTGCACCCACTCATAAAACTCATTTACCCAAAGATAATTTCATGCAAAAAATAATTTTTAATAATTATTTATTATTTTTTATTATTTAATTAAAGTGAGGATGAAAAAATTTTGAATTATAAGGCATGAATTTTTTTATACCATATTAATCTACATGTATTTTAATTATAAAATCTAAAGTTTCAACAGTTTTTATTTATTAGAAGCTGAGAAAAATTAAAATTAATTATTTCTAAAAAAATAATTTGGCGACAATAAAGAAATGATTAAATGGGGCGATTAATATTAAAATGTGATGAACTTGCGAGGAACTTGACTTCGCACGCGTAGTGTGAAATTTCATTCATATTTTTTTCGCTAATAATCGTTTGCTAATCTTTTTATATTTATTTATTTCTAACTATAAAATACAATATTTCCTTTTTAGTCGCTTAATAATTTATTTACAATTTAGTAAAGAAATTTGAATAAAACATTTTGAGTAAAAAACACCTTATTCAAGGAATGTCAAGTTTTATAAAATAGGATATGATCTTCTGATAGAATATGATTATACACCAGATTGTGCTTATTTAATGTGATTATTTTTTATTCTTTTATTTTGTTTTTCAATAACTGATACAATTTCAATAATAGACATACGTATGCATAGATTTGGAATAATATATTTATCAATTTCTTGAATATATATTTTATAAATATTAATAAAAATACGTAGTCAACATTTTTAAACATCTCTCACAACATCGCAAATTTCTCAACATCTTATAGGGTAAACTAAACAATGAAGGAACACTTAAGCTTAGCTTGCCTTTAAAAAAAATTCATAAAAATTTCAAAATTTGTAATTTTAGCTAAATGATGGTTTCGACATATTTGTTATTAAATGCAAATTATGTAAAAAAAGTTAGATAACTTACATAATATTGTTTTAAGCTTTTGGTGGTTTAAATAATAAGTAGTAAGATGACCAAGTGAAGGAACAGTTCTTACCAGTGAATAAACACTAAATTTTCCAGAGAATGAACACTTAATTTTGATAATGTTTGATGCTCGTTAGGAATCCATAGGCCACACAAATGTCTAAAAACAAGATTTTTCTTGGAATTACGACATATAACCATAGTTAATGTGGAAAATGTTACTTTTTTTTCCGTCATGGAATGGAAAGTAAAATATGTTTGAATACATAATTTAAAAAAAAAATGTTTTTCTTTTTTTTTTCTCACAGTTTAATAGTCCGTTCTAAATTATGAATGTTTATCATTGTGTAATCCGATGATGTTTTTATTATTATTATAATTGGATCACTTTTTTGTTTACTCTTTTCCCCATATTTTTCGAGCTATTTTTTAATCTTTTTAAGTATTTTCTTTCTCTTCGTCACATTTTCTGCTTTAACTATTTTTTCAGCTCTTTCAATCTCTTTAAATTTTCGTTCTTTTTCTGAAGTTAATGCAAAAAAGTAATTTTTTTATTTTGATTGAACCTTCCTCTTTTTTCCAAATTTTTGGCCAATGTAAATGTATTTTCGAAATTTCTTTTGATTTTCCAGTACCATTTCTAGAATTCCTCACTGGATAATAAATGAGAAAAAGGAGTTTCGAAGTTTGAGTAAAATCCATCTCTCATTGACTTATATCTAGTGGGTCTTCAGCAGTACTTGCCATTTACTTATGGAACCAATTGTTTTTACAACTAACAATGCTTCAAGAGGACTTATATCAAAATCAGTTTTCAAGATACTTTCATTATCAATGCTAGTTGTATCAGCTTCAGTGCCAAAATTTGATTAACCAAATGTTCTTTTTGAAATAAATTCTTCAATATTGAGTAAAGCACTGGCTATTGAATATTTGGGAGATTAAACTTTTCTGTCAATATTCCTTTAAAAATTTGCAACATAACTTGTGAGATTTCCCTCTCAAGCTTCTGAAGAAATAGTGCATCGTTACTCTCGAAGCATGTATTTTGTTGATAAGTTGTCTTGCTCATTAACTCTTGGTGTCTGTTTTGCATGCATTTGTTAAAGTCAACGTTTTTTACATCGAATGGAAAAATATCGCATTTCATAAAAGCATTTTAACTTCATCAGTTGATGCCTCAAAATCTTATTTAAAAATGGATGTAAAATTTTCTCTACATATTGCTTTACAATTCTTTTAAGATCTAACGGGAGATTTCCCTGAATTAGGTAGAAAACTAAACCAGAAAATTTGTTTTGTTGAACATAACTTGCTCAGTTTCAAATTGATATAAGATTTATACCTATCCAAAACAAGAAAAATAGGGAATTTGATAGCATTTTTAATTAGCCATGGGTAGAAACATTTGCAATATATTTGTAAAATGTTGCTGCGGTCATTGTTTCATTTCATGAATCGCTTTTTCCAATGAAATATATAGTAGGGACTGATTCTGTAATATATCAAAGAATTCTTCAGTAAGAAAAAACTACCAATGGAGGTACTTTTTCTTTTTTAGGTACTTAAGAATATAAATCCTCATAATTTTTAAGGCCAAGGATTTTTCTCGTTTAAGGACAGTATTTAACTCTTGTTTCGTTTTCATTGTAAATGCAATAACTTTCTAAAAGGATGTCAGGGCTACTTCCCTCCGAAAGATTCATCTAAAGTTCTTAAAACCAGAATTTCGAATATTATTCTCTAAGGAAAGTTTTGCCTTTTGAAATTATATTTGCATTGCACTGAGTTATCGGTGGATGTCGCCTTAAAAAAAAAAACTTCAGCCATTTTTCACCTGGATGATTGTCTTTAAATGGATTTTTCCTACCAGTTCCCGTCTGGACGTTAAAGACCGCAATAAGATAATAATTTAGCTAATTATTAGCACAAAGGCCTGCAAAGAAATTTTCTATTCAAGCTTTTATTATTATATTTAGTCCATAAACATAGCTTATTAAGGTGTCTAAGGTATGATGTAATAACTAATCACTACATTTATAACGATAAATAATTAATAAATTATTATTATAATTCTTTAAATAAATTTAGCAATTAAATTTGCATTTTGAAATGAAATTGTTATAGGAACTATTCATACAACATTTAACTGAATTTTAGGTGTCCTCTATATCGCAGAACTACTAATTATCCATGTAAAATCATATTTCACACATTCTGTTCATTCACTGGGAAATCTATTCCCAGTGAAGAAACGTGCCTGTTCCTTCACAGGTTAGAAGTTGTTTTTTGTACTTTTAACATAATTTTGATGTATAATATGACTAAAAGTACAGGAAAATCAAATTTTTTCTTTTATTTTCATTAACTTGAAGAAATCCCAATAAAGGAACACTTGTTAATTCATTGGTTTTTCATCGTTTGGTAATCTAGTTAATAAGCACCCCCTAATCTTAGTACTTGCTAATGTTATGATGCTTGAAATGAATAAAACGTAACTTCAATAACCATATTTTGAATTCTCTTTTTCACAATGAGAAAAAAAGCATTATTATATGCAATTAGTT